CGCAGGCCTGAGGCCGATTACTCGGAAGCTAAGGAAGCGAAAACGCGCGCCGCGGGAATGTCGGGGAGAAAGCGCCCGGAACAGCCCGGAGCGGCCTGACTTCCCGCCGCGCTCCAGGCTCGGGAGGCGCCGGAGTTCCTGCGGTTACTGCTCTGCGCATGAGCGGAAGTCAGGCTTTGCGCAGTCTGCTGGGTCGGTGGGTGTGTGTGTTAACTGATTGGCTCCATATTCAGTGCAGAACAATCGGTTTGCATCTGTTCTTCCCTTAGCACCCTCCAGCTGCTAGAAACAAGATCGCATTCCAGGAAGCGTTGAGGCCGCCCGACTGCCCATCTTCCCGTAGTAAAGATGGCGACGCCCTGACAGTAAACGACACGTCAAACCACTTCCGCGTTTCTCTTGTGCCCTCGTTCAAGATGGCGGACGAGGCCACCCGGCGTGTCGTGTCTGAGATCCCAGTGCTGAAGACTAACGCCGGACCTCGCGATCGGGAGCTGTGGGTGCAGCGCCTCAAGGAGGAGTATCAGTCTCTTATCCGGGTGGGTTGTGCTGCTGCGGGCGCAGAGCGCTGTGGGTCATCCTGTGTGCTCAGGAATAGGCTCCGTGCGGAAGCCATTTCCGGTCTTAAAGGCGAACCCCCAAATTCATAGACACGACAAGTGCGGGGTGTGGGGCCTAGGCGGGGGCGGGGGCGCCGGCAGGGGAGCCGCGCCGCGAGCCAGGGTCGGGCCGACTTCCTGCGGGGTGCGCCTCGGAAGGTGACGTGTCGCTCGGGCTCCGGGCTTGCCCTCCTGGGGGCGAGGAGCGGGCTGTCCCCGCCGACCCCTCGACCCCTCTTCACTTCGGGAGGAGGCGCGCACGTTCGGGCCGAAAAGTCAAAGAGGGGGCAGTGGCAGGATGGCGGGACCCTGTGCGGCTCCCCCTCTTCTCTAAGAGGAGAGCTGGGGCGGCCGGGGTCTGTCCTGCCGCGTGCCTCTCTTCACCGCAAACCTGTTGTGCACCCCGCACCCAGGAAGGGGCTCCGAGGCCGGAGGCGGCGGGCCGGGCTACTAAGACTCGTTAAGTAGGGAAAGGGAGAGGGAGGCTGAGGAACTGCTAGAATGTGCTGAAGCCGGCGAGGTAGCTAATCCGGGTGGGGCTGGTCAGGGCGGGCTCCCTGGAGGAGGCGGTGCTTGAGGTGGGAGGAGGACGTTCTTGGGGAAAGGCATGGACGCTAGAAACGCCGTGATGTGTATGAAGAGACACCTAGTTCAGAGTTGCTGCAGCACCAAATGCGTAGCACGGAGTGGTGGGCAAGACTCGAGGGAGAGGTCTGAGCACTCGAATTTTATCTTGGAGGCGTTGGGATTCCTTTAAAGGATTTTCACCAAGGAATATTCTGGTCAGATTTGAGCTTAGATCAATCACCGTGCCAATAGAGAGGAAAATGGAATTGACAGGGATAAGATTGAAGGTAGGAGACAAGTTAGGAGTCTGTGATTAATCCAGGCAAAAGAAAGTTGATGCTCTAAAGTCTAAACTCTACAGTTAGTTATAGTGAGAATAGAGAGGAGAGGTAGATTTGAAGACTATTCAGAAGGTAAAATCAGCAGGACATTGTTGCTGGGCTAAAGGAGAGGGAGAATCAAGAATTATTCCAGCTCGGCCGGAGCAGCTCAGTGGTTGAGCATGGACCTTTGAACCAGGAGGTCATGGTTCCATTCCTGGTCAGGCACAGGCCCAGGTTTCAGGCTTGATCCCCAGTGGGGGCATGCAGGAGGCAGCCTATTGATGATTCTTTTTCATCATTGATGTTTCTATCTCCTTCTCCCTTCCTCTCTGAAATCAATTTTAAAAAAAATTTTTAAAGGACAATTCCAGGTTTCTAGCCTAAATGACAGTGAATGCTGATGCTACTCCCTGAGATTGATGCAGTGGGGGACAGGGCAGAAGGAACAAAAGCAAAAGCTGAGCTTGAGGTACCTGTGAAACAAAGGTAGAAATATATAGTTGGATACTGGAGTCTGAAGCTGGAGAAAACATCTGGATTAAAGATAAAGATTTGGAAGTCCATCAGCATGTGGGAGCTGATCAAAACCAGGACCATGTCATGTCCCCTAGGGAGGGAGCACCCATTAAACGAGTTGTGAGCTGAGGTCAGAAAGTGTCAGAAGTGAAAAGAGAACTCAGCTGGTGTCATCAAATCTTTAGTGCTAAAGTGAGTGGAGCCCAAGCATTCTCTGCTCTGGGCAATTGCTAGTCCCTGCTTACCAGTGTGACTTTGTCTTTATCTTTGCTTATGTCAGGAAAATTGGGCAAATGTACTAAAAAAGAAAGTAGTCACATAATTTTCTTTTGAGGGAAGGGGGACTGCCCTTGGCCTCAACTTCCCCCTCAAAGACCTAATTCTTTGCTTTTAGTATGTGGAGAACAACAAGAATGCGGACACTGATTGGTTCCGACTGGAGTCCAACAAGGAAGGGACTCGGTAGGCAGACCCTCCTGGGGGGTATCGGGGTGGGAATCGTACGTGGTTTTAGCATTATCCTATCTCAAAGCTCACTGCCAGGCCATCCCTGCTCCGTATTGGCTGTGTCCACTCCCACAGCTCCAGAGTTTCCCAGTTCCTATCCCATGAGTCTCCCAGGCCAGTCACCTAAGCCAAGAAGATGTCACTTGAGCCCTAACCAGTTTGGCTCAGTGGACAGAGTGTCGGCCTGCGGACTGAAGGGTCCCAGGTTCAATTCCAGTCAAGGGCATGTACCTGGGTTGCAGGCACATCCCCAGTAGGGGGTGTGCAGGAGGCAGCTGATGATGTTTCTCTCTCATAAATGTTTCTAACTCTCTATCCCTCTCCCTTCCTCTCTGTAAAAAATCAATAAAATATATTTTTTTAAAAAAAGATGTCACTTGAGTATGAGAAGAATGGTCAAATTAGACTGAGGCTTGGTCTTCGTTATAGGTGGTTTGGAAAATGCTGGTACATCCATGATCTCCTCAAATATGAGTTTGACATCGAGTTTGACGTGAGTATGATGGTGTGGGAAATATGGAGGTTAACAAGCTAACAATTTTTGAAAAGACCAAAGAAATTTTCCAATGGGAGGCAAAAACTGAGATTTGAAGCAAGTGTAGATTAGTTACTAATCTCTAAGTCCAGAATTCTGGTTTGCACATGCTGCTTGGGGAGTTTGCCAAACATTTCAGTTCAACTGAGAAATGTATGTCAGGATACATTAGTTCCTTTATATCCTGATTCTCTTTTATTAAGGTTTTATAATTCCTCCAGATTCCTATCACATATCCTACTACTGCTCCAGAAATTGCAGTCCCTGAGCTGGATGGAAAAACAGCCAAGATGTACAGGTAGGACTGAATAGGAGATGGGAAAGGGTCAAAACGGGCTTAGGGAAGAACTTGGGGAGGCAGGAATTTTCCCAGAGGCCTGCTGGCCTAGAGGGGCTCTAGGCCTCCCTCTACCAAGCCTGGGCACTGCACTTAGCTGACCTTGTTCTCAATTTGGATCACTAATAGCCTTGTGCTTCCAAGAGGCTGCTATGTTTCATGGTAACCTTGCATGTCAACACCTTCTTCCCGCTTATCCCTCTCATAGGGGTGGCAAAATATGTCTGACTGATCACTTTAAGCCTTTGTGGGCCAGGAACGTGCCCAAGTTTGGACTAGCTCATCTTATGGCTTTGGGGGTAAGTTTGGGTTATTTGCTTCTCCCTCTCCCGTCCCCCCCCCCTCTCAAAAATCAATATAAAAAAGAGAACTGAGAATAAACAAGGAATAACAGTGTTTTCCCTTGGGTGTGCTCCCCTAGTATCTCTCTAGGAAGGAGCTTCTGATAGAACAAGATGCATTGCCTTGATGGTAGTAACCTTACAGGTCTCCCTTGTATTACAGCTGGGTCCATGGCTGGCAGTGGAAATCCCCGATCTGATTCAGAAAGGCGTTATTCAGCATAAAGAGAAATCATCTGAAGGATCAAGCCACTGAGGCTGGACAGGGGACCTTTGAGAGGCTACGTTCCTTTTTCCTGTGTGTCCCTTACTCATCTAATGCTTCCCTCACACTCTTTCACCCACAACTGTTATCAAGTAGCTGCAGCAGGCATTGCTGGAAAAAAAAACCCAACAAACAGTATTGCTACGAATGTGTAAGGCTACGCAGGGAGGGGAAAGCCTGGGGCTTTGAAAACCCAAAGGTCACTTATATCCCCTCCCCAGGTGGGGCGATGTGAGGTCCTGGAGGGACAGCGGGTGGCGGAAAGTGGGTCCGTGGACCTTTGGTTTCTGGAGATAACTCATCAATAAAAGCTGCTTCCTCTGGTGGCCTGTGGTCCTCATTGGTGGCTGCTAACAGCAGGCCAGCCTGCCCCGCCCTGCGGGGAGGCCCCTCCCTACTGAGCCCCCCTGCAGCTCTCTGGGAAGCATCTGTGCTGCAAACCTGGGGGCCAGGCTCCGGCTGTCAGACCCACACCCTGTGGGCCACAGAATGAGGTGACGGGACCTACACTTCAGGGACATGGTTCGCGGTAACGGTGTAAAGACGAGGCTGGGCAAGGCTGGGAACTGTGGGTCCTAACGTTGGCTGCGTTGCCATGGTGTCGGGGGCGGGGTCGCGCAGGCGCTGAGGACGCAGGCTCTGGGTCGGAGTGCGGCTGCGCAGGCGCCGTGAGCGACGCTGAAGCCGGTGGCGGCGGGACCAACAAATATGGCGGCGGCCCCGGCGGCGGGAGCGACCTGGGCGGCAGCTGCGCCTGAAGTTGCAGCCGGGCCCGCGGGGGTGCTGCACAGGGGTCGGGGGGGGCAGCCCTGAGCTGGGGCCTGGCCCCGGCTGGGCTCCCCCGCCGCACCCCGGGGCACAGGTACGGGCCGCGGCGTGACGGCCGGTGTGGGGGGACGCCCTGGACCTGGGAGGACGCCCTCCACCCAGGCGGAGGCGCAGGGGACGGCGGGCCTGGGGGAACGGGGCTGCCGGGGCGCGCCCGGGGACCGTGGGGCACACAGCGCCGGGCTCCGGAGCCAACCGGGGCCTTGGCCTGTCTCCCCTCAAGGGGGGCGGGCCCGAGAAGCCCTGCCGCCGGGCGACCCGGGGTCAGGGAGGCCCGCCCGCCCGCCTTCCGCAGGGCCCCTGAGCCCCACACCGCGTAGGAGCTCGAGGGTGCGGGAGGGAGGGAGTCGCAAGCCACCCATTTCCTGAGAGGTGCACGGGAGTGCGGATGGGGTGCTGTCTCCTGGGCTGTTGTCCTGGCACCCGCCCGCAGTGACCAGGGCGCCCGAGGGGCTCAGGTAGCGCCCGCTTGACGTCCCGGTGCGAGGCTGTCGCCACCCGATGATCCAGACCGCGACTGTCCTAGGCCTCCCAGCACCGCTGTTTCCGCAGGAAGGTGCCGAGGCAGGAGTCAGGCCTGGGCTGTCATCACCCATTCATTGATCCTCAATGATACAGTCACACCGCACTTCTCCAGCAGTTCGATTCTCAACCAAGTTGTTCACAGAAAAAAAGTCTCGGTTGTCGACCAAAACTTCAGTTTTGGACCTGACAACCTTTCATGCTGAGACCTCTACCTGACAAAAAGCATCTCTCTGGCAACAAAGGAAAGAATGCTTTTGTGATTAGCACATTTTTCAAACAGAAAGAGTGCTAATGTTGCTAAGGGTGTGAACGCGCTCATAAGCTAACAAGCACAGACAGTTGAATAGGTAGAAAAATTTGTTTGTATAAAGGAAAAGCAGTGAGCCAGTGGTAGCACTTTAGAGGCAGTGATACATGGAAAATCAGTTTAAGGCTAATAGAGGGTGTTTCAATAAATTTAAGAAAAGAAGTGCTTATTTATAGATTAGACATGTACTGTATATACTAGTAAGAAAGGTTAAAATGGAATCATTTGGAGTTTTGGAACGGATTAATTCAATTTACATTCTTTCTGATGGGAACAAATGATTCAGTTTTCTAACAAATCGCTTCTCCAACAGCTTTCCAGAACGAATTAAGTTCAAGAACTGAGGTTCAGTGTGCTAAGTATTTACTTTGTGTCAAACATTGAGCTAGGTACTGGGATACAACGTCTGATATGACAACTCGGTTCCTGCCCACAGTACACATAGAAGCTAGTATGGTAGCTTAGCTTCCCCCTCTGTCCATATTCATATGCTGACCCTCTCTTCTCCCAGGTCTTGCCTGTGGTGACCACAATGCCCCAGGCCTCTGAGCACCGCCTGGGCCGGACCCGAGAGCCACCTGTCAATGTCCAGCCCCGAGTGGGATCCAAACTACCATTTGCCCCCCGGGCTCGCAGTAAGGAGCGTCGAAACCCAGCCCCTGGGCCAAACCCCATGTTACGGCCTCTGCCTCCCCGGCCAGGTCCACCTGAGGAACGGCTCAAGAAACTGGAGCTGGGACAAACACGGACCTCAGGCTCTCGTCCCAGAGGCCCCCTTCGGGCAGATCATGGAGTTCCCCTGCCTGGCTCACCACCCCCAGCTGTGGCTCTGCCTCTCCCAACCAGGACCAACTTAGCCAGGTCCAAGTCTGTGAGCAGTGGGGACTTGCGTCCAACAGGGATTGCCTTGGGAGGGCATCGAGGTGCTGGAGAGCTAGGGGCTGCACTGAGCCGCTTGGCGCTCCGGCCTGAGCCACCCACTTTGAGACGTAGCACCTCTCTCCGCCGCCTAGGGGGCTTTCCTGGGCCCCCCACCTTGCTCAGTATACGGACAGAGCCCCCTACTTCCCATGGCACTTTCCGCGTGATATCCGCCCGGCCCTCCAAGCCTTTCTACTTCGATGACAAGATGGTGAGGACTTGTCAGCACATGTGACCTTCCATTCCCATATTCCTCCAGCTTTCTTGCCGTCATATGGCTTTCCTGCCCCCACCCCACCCCCATCCCAAGTTCCTTTCTCAGCCCCTCATTGCAGCATTTGGACTCTAATCTCCCTTCCTTATCCTTTCAGGGTTGTCTGTCACTCCCCCGCATGGTGCACCACTTCAGTCCCCAGGGATTTAACCCAGCCATTTGGAATTCTCCTTTGGGTCCCCCAGGCCCTTCTCTCCCTTGTCTTCTCTCCTAGGACACTGCCTAGGCCAGTGATGGCGAACCTTTTGAGCTCGGCATGTCAGCATTTTGAAAAACCCTAACTTAACTCTGGTGCCATGTCACATATAGAAATTTTTTGATATTTGCAACCATAGTAAAACAAAGACTTATATTTTTGATATTTATTTTATATATTTAAATGCCATTTAACAAAGAAAAATCAACCAAAAAAATGAGTTCGCGTGTCATAGGTTCGCCATCCCTGGCCTCGGCCTAATTAACCTCTGGAGCTGAGGAGGGCAGGTTCAGGAAATCTGAGCTAGTGTGGTCGCCCATTTCTTGAGCAAGTGAGCGAGGCTGATTGCATTTGGAGCATCAGGAGAGGGAGCCAGAAAGGGCCACGGGGGCAGGAGGGGGCCTCGGACACAACAAGGTGGGGGTGGGGAGCAGCTGGGCAACCATGCCAGTGCTTGGTCAGTTGCCCTGGGAGCTGTTTTGCCGGCCAGCTGGGCAGAGGAACAAGTGGAGAACAGGTGGGACTGGCATGGCTGAGTCTGTGGTGCACTCAACTGTGATGGGCTTACTGCTCATGTCCAGTGAGGTAGGGAGACCCCAATACCCAGTGAGGGAAAGAGGGTAGAGTTTGGGGTGAAGTATTGGGGGGGCGGCAAAGCAGTGGGCAGCATGCTGTTGAAAGGTTAAAGGGTCACACAGGCTGTATGGGAACCTGCTGACGGCACTCTGACCTTCCAGGCTCATCACACACTGCTTCTGGGCTCTGGTCATGTTGGCCTCCGAAATCTGGGGAACACGGTGAGAGCCATTCTCCTGTCCTTCCTTTCTAACAGGAATGGGGAGCGGTGCTGGGCGGGAACTTGGCTGGCTTGGGGAGGGGGCACTGCCACTCCTCTAAGTCTCCCTGGGCCCCTTCTGGAGAGGTAACGGCAGTGTCTCTGCTGCTCCCTAGTGCTTCCTGAATGCTGTGCTGCAGTGTTTGAGCAGCACTCGGCCTCTCCGGGACTTCTGCCTGCGAAGGGACTTCCGGCAAGAGGTGCCTGGAGGGGGCCGAGCCCAAGAGCTCACTGAAGGTGGGGCAACAACTCCTGTCCCCCCTGCCTTTCAAATCCTCTTCTCCCCAATCCCTTGCAGGTCCACCTGCCAATGCCGGCAGCCCCAGCCTCCTGTCTGGCAGTTGTACCTTTTTCCTGGTGCCACTGTGTAAAGTCTGTTTCCGCTTCCGAGCCGCCTCTTGCCTCTTCCAGGACTAACCTGTGTTTCCCTTCCCCCCTCCTACCCCAATAGCCTTTGCAGATGTGATTGGTGCCCTGTGGCACCCTGACTCTTATGAAGCTGTAAATCCTACTCGGTTCCGAGCTGTCTTCCAGAAATACGTTCCCTCCTTCTCTGGATACAGGTGGGAGAGCTGGAGGGCATGGGATTTCCCTCTGGCCATGTCTGGGGATAGGACCAAGAGGGGTCCCAGCAGCAATATTCTGAGCCTTGAGATGTTCTTAATCCAGGAGGTGGGGACCAGTGTCTGGCAGGGGATGGTGTCTGGACTAGGGGATCAGTTGCCCATTCTCTTTGGCTGTAGCCAGCAGGATGCCCAGGAGTTCCTGAAGCTCCTCATGGAGCGGCTACACCTTGAAATCAACCGACGAGGCCGCCGGGCTCCCCCAATCCTGGCCAGTAGCCCAGCTCCCTCTCCACCCCACCGTGGAGGGGCTCTGCTGGAAGAGCCGGACTTAAGGTAAGGTTCTCCCACGCCCTTTTCTCCACAGTAGTTTACCAATAGCATCTTCCTTTACAGAACAGCTAGTCAGGACAGGAGTAGGTCCAGGAAAATGCATGGCTTAGAAATGGGTTGAGAAGCAGTGCAGAGCGGGAGGCTGGAGCAGATGGAGGCAGAGGCAGTGCTGGGAAGTCCCCATGTTGAAGGAGGAGGGAGAGTTCATTGACAACAAGGCACATAAAGGGCCTGAAGCCGGTGGAGGAAGACGACATGTTCTTCCTTGTCTATTCCCTTTACTTTCCCCAGAAAGTCCTCTGAAGCCTTACTCCTCTTCCTTGAAATTTAGAGAAGGGATCAACCGAAGGACTTATATGCATGCATATAAGCACAACCAATGGACACAAGACACGGGGGGGGGGGGGGGGGGGGGGGATGAGGGCATGTGACGGGGGTAGGGGAGGCTGGGGGAAGGTCAATGGGGGGAAAAAAGGAGACATACTACTATGTGTAATACTTTAAACAATAAAAACAATATTTAAAAAAATTTAGAGGAGGAGCTGAGGTATGGGTGGGGTACAGGGCTCTGGGTCATTTCAGTGGTGTCTGGGTGCCCACTTTTCCTGCTGTCTCAGGGGTGCTTCCATTTCCCTTCTGTGGTAGTGACAATGACCGGGCCAACCTAATGTGGAAGCGTTACCTGGAGCGAGAGGACAGCAAGATTGTGGGTATGGAACGGCACAGCAACAGGGAAATAAATGAGCGGGGAGGGGTAGGGGGGGTGACCTGGAGTGGGAGTGCAGGCTGGGGAGAAAGAAGATGATGCTGTCAAGGGATGTGGGAACAGCTGGGTGATAAAAATGTGGAAAAGGGGTGCGGGGCTTCTAGGAATGTTGGTGGTGGGGAATCAAGGTCAGGCAAAGGGGTGGGAAGAGAAATCCTAGCAGGCGTCTCGGCCTCTCACAGTGACTCTCCTGCCCTCTACTTCTGTCTAGACCTGTTTGTGGGCCAGTTGAAAAGTTGTCTCAAGTGCCAGGCCTGTGGGTATCGCTCCACGACCTTCGAGGTTTTTTGTGACCTGTCCCTGCCCATCCCTAAGGTGGGATTCCAGAGGATTCCAAGGGTGGATGGGACATGGGTTTGGTGACCCAACCTCGCTGCCCCCAGAGCGTGGGAAGGAACCCTTTGGGTCTCTGGAGGAGACATGAAGCCTGGGTTGAGGAAGAAGAGTCGGGAACGGAAATGCTGACCCTTCGTTCCCCTTTCCCTCCAGAAAGGATTTGCTGGGGGCAAAGTGTCTCTGCGGGACTGCTTCAGCCTTTTCACCAAGGAAGAAGAGCTAGAGTCGGAAAACGCCCCAGTATGTGGGGTTCAAACGGGATGTAGTAACACTGGGGACTCGGGGGGGCTCCGTATGGGTTAAAGGGGTTGCATGATGCCTTACTAAGGGGAATAACATTTGTATGTCTGGGTTTCTGTTGGTCTCAGGTAAGTCCTAGTACTCTGGGGGCAAAGGAGGCCCAGAGCGTACAGAATTCATGGGGAGTAGTAAATTGTATGTGGCCAGGGTGTCGGAAAAGCCATTCGAGGTGAGGAGCACAGTAATCTAACATTATTTGATATTCAGGTGTGTGACCGATGTCAGCAGAGAACACGAAGTACCAAAAAGCTGACAGTACAAAGATTCCCCCGGATCCTCGTACTCCGTATCCTCATCTCCAGATTCTATTTCTTCCGTCCGTTCTCTTTCTCATTCCCCGTGTTTGCAGAGGCTGGATAACTGGCAACGGAATTTTCCTTAGGAAACCGCCTTGCCCTGCCATGCTCCCGGGGTTCCTTGGGGGAGGGGAGTGGACAGCATTCAAGATCTCAGTCCCCTCGGAGGCCCCTCTCGCCCCCGCCCCCTCTAACTGCTCCTTAACCAGGGCTTAGATCTGAATCGGTTTTCCGCCTCCCGAGGCTCCATCAAGAAAAGCTCCGTAGGTGTGGACTTCCCGCTGCAGCGCCTGAGCCTGGGGGACTTTGCCAGCGACAAAGCCGGTGAGTCTGGTGGGAAGGCCCGGGGAGCGCCAGAAGGGGAGGCGAGCGGGGGGCCCAGCCGCAACTGGTTCCCACGGCCTCTGCCTCCGCAGGAAGCCCCGTCTACCAGCTGTACGCCCTCTGCAACCACTCGGGCAGCGTCCACTATGGCCACTACACCGCCCTGTGCCGCTGCCAGACCGGCTGGCACGTCTACAATGACTCTCGGTGAGAACAGTCTCCTGCTCGCCTCCTGGCCCGGGTGGGAGGAGGGGGAGGGGGGGAGGGGAGGGGGCGGGGTCTCCCTCCCTGCCCTCGCGAGGCTGAGGCTGACCCTGTGGCCGGAAGGATGGGCGGGAATGAGCGCGCTCTCCCGCCTCCCCTCCGCCCAGGGTCTCCCCGGTCAGTGAGAACCAGGTGGCGTCCAGCGAGGGCTACGTGCTCTTCTACCAGCTGACGCAGGAGCCGCCCCGCTGCCTGTGAAACCCTGCCCCCCCCCAAGCCCGGGCTCCCCGTTTACCTCAGAGACGTCTATTTTTGTGTCTTTTTCATTGGGGAGGCGGAGGGTGATTGTAGCACCCATTTTTTAAATTAAAAAGTACCCTTCCACCTGGAGGTCCCCCTGTGCCCCAGCCCCATGTACAGAGCTCCCCAGGCCCCGCCCGTGTACGGCCCCGGACTTCAATCTCACTTTTTGTGAATAAATTTATTAAGAAAAACGGATGTCCTCGTTTGTACTTGTGCGGGGCGGGGGGAGGCCGAGTTGAATCTTCCCGGGCGCGTAGGGCGGAAGGAGGGAAGGCAAAGCTGAGACTGGTGCCGGCGAAGGGGCGGCCCCTCGAGGCGCCAGCGCCCCGGACCCGGGGTGGAAACGCTGGGTGCGTGGCCCGGGGCCCTCGCTCCCGCAGGCCCGGCCGCTGCCACCGTCAGGAGCTGTTTACCGGGCCGGCCCCGCGCGCCAGCCACTGCCCGGGGCTCAGGGCCGGACCCGGCGCTCCCTCCGCCGGCGCTGCCGTCCGGGGTTCTCATTGGCGAGCGTCACCGGCCTTCGGGGCCACCAATGGGAAGCGGGCTGCTGCGCAGGCGCGACCTCCAGGCCGTGGGGGCGGGGGCGCTGGGGGGCCGCGCCGGGGCGACCCGCGCCGCGCGCGCCGATAGCGTGGGTGCGGCCCGTATCGCCCCGCGGAGCGCGGGCGGGAAGCCTGCGGACCTGCACCGGCTCCTCCCGCACTTTCTCTCGTCCGTCCCGGGGGTGAGTCCTGTGCCCCAAACGGGCGCCTCGCGCTCGCACCACCGCGTCCGCGGGCTCTGCCTCAGTTTCCCGCAAAGCAGTGGCCGGGGCGGAGGAGCGCGGGTCCGGCGCTGCCGAGAGGGAGTCGGTCAGCGCTCCGTGCCGCCCTTCTCCCCAGGCTCCCGATGGCCCGGACCGTGGTCGTGCTGGGCGGAGGCATCAGCGGCTTGGCTGCCAGTTACCACCTGAGCCGGGTCCCCAGGGCCCCCAAGGTGAGCGCCCCGCGCGGAGGGAGCCTCCCGATCCCTGGCCCCGTGGGCAGCCCGGGGTGCGCGCCTCCCGCCCCTCGAGCCCCTTCCCCGGCGTCGGAGACCCCGGGCCACAGTCCCGCCCCCGCTCCAGGTGGTGCTGGTGGAGGGTGGCGAGCGCCTGGGAGGCTGGATCCGCTCCGTGCGAGGGCCCGGCGGCGCTGTCTTCGAACTCGGGCCCCGAGGAATTCGGCCCGCGGGGGCGCGGGGAGCGCGGACTCTGCTCCTGGTGAGGCTGTGGGGTGCCCGGAGAGGGGGTTCCTCGAGAGGGTAGCGGGGGAGGGTGCGTAGGTGGTGGTCAGCTCTTCGTTCCTCCTCCCGGGGGCGCGGGGAGCAGGTGTCTGAGCTGGGCTTGGACTCCGAAGTGTTGCCGGTCCGAGGAGACCACCCGGCTGCCCGCAACCGGTTCCTGTACGTGGGCGGCGCCCTGCACGCGCTGCCCGCCGGCCTCAGGTGACTCCCGGCGCCCCGCGGGTGGAAGGGAGCCCGGAGCCGGGAGGCCCCGAGCGCCCCTCACTGCGCTTCTCCCGCAGGGCGCTGCTCCGCCCGTCGCCCCCCTTCTCCAAGCCTCTGCTCTGGGCCGGGCTGCGGGACCTGACCGCCCCCCCGGGCAGAGACCCTGACGAGACTGTGCACAGCTTTGCCGAGCGCCGCCTGGGACCCGAGGTGACCCTGCCCAGAGGCCTGGAGGGCCCCCCCCCCCCCCGGGGCTCCTCTGTGTCCCGGGATGTCTGTCTTTTCATACTCAGAAGTTTCCAAAACTCAGCTTTGGAGGGCGGGTGCCTCCACGACCCTCTCCCCCTTCGAGGGGTGGGCTGCTTCGGAGCCCAAGCCCAGCTGTCCCCTCACCTTCCCGACGGGCAGGATGGTGACAACCCGTCCTTCTCGCCCTCAGGTGGCGGCTCTGGCCGCGGACAGCCTCTGCCGCGGAGTGTTCGCAGGCAGCAGCCGGGAGCTCAGCGTGCGGTCCTGCTTCCCCAGCCTCTTTCAAGCTGAGCAAGCCCATGGCTCCGTGTTACTGGGGCTGCTGCGGGGGGCCGGTGAGGGCGCGCCCGCGGGCGGGCACATGGCGGGCTGGGCGGCTGGAGGCCAGGAGGCTAACCTGCTGCTGCCCTATCTCCTCCCCTCGGCAGGGCAGAGCGCACAGCCAGACTCGGCCCTCATCCGCCAGGCCCGGGCTGAACGCTGGAGTCAGTGGTCGCTCCGGGGAGGGCTGGAGATGCTGCCCCAGGCACTTAACGCCCACCTGACCAGGAGCGGGGTCACCGTGCTCAGGGGCCACCCGGTCTGTGGGCTCAGCCTCCACGCAGGACGCTGGAAGGTAGGAGAGGCCCGTGGAGTGTAATGAACCTGTCTCTTAGTTTCCATCTTTGCCTAAATGTTCTGTTGTGTTTTTTAAATTTACTTTCATTTATTGATTTTAGAGGAGGGGGAGAGAGAGACATCGATTAGTTGCCCCCTTATTTATGCATTCATTGGGTGGTTCTTGTGTGTGCTGTGGCCCAGGATGGAGCCCACAACCTGACATATGGGGGTGATGCTCTAGAAGAGCTACCTGGCCAGGGCTTGCCCACATATTTGCACCAGGCCAGGCCTGGCCGGCTGGAGTTGCTCGTTTCCTGCCCTAGAAGCTGTTTAAATATGGGCCTCATTTATGGACCTTCCTCCAAGACCCTTTGACCCAAGTCTGTGGGTAGAAACAGTGCTATCAGTGGCTGAGAGCCCAGCTCCACTGAACAGCTCAGAGTGGACACTGGCTGTCTGGCCCACTTCCTGGAGTAAGGGGGTGATTTCTTTGCTAACTACCCGGCTCTCCTGCCACGTGTGTGCCCGGGAAGCTAAGGCAAAATTCCCATGACCTCTGTGTTTCAAATGTGCTCCTACTCAGGTGTCTCTGGGGGGCAGCTGCCTGGAGGCCGACCATGTGATTAGTGCTCTTCCAGCTTCAGGTAATGGGTAGCCACCTCCCTTCCCCACCCAGGGTGAGGCAAGCTGTGGTTTCTGGGCCAGTAGGACCATGCCATGCGCTGAATTGCCATCGTGGAAGGCTAATCCCAAGAAGGGTGGATGGAATTGTGGGGGGAAGGCCTCCTGAGCAGCCTCTGCCGGCTCCCCCAGTGCTCAGCAAGCTGCTCCCCGCCGAGGCTGCACCTCTGGCACGCGTCCTGGGCACCATCCGTGCTGTGTCTGTGGCCGTGGTGAACCTGCAGTACCGAGGAGCCCAGCTGCCGGTCCAGGTGTGACACAGGAAGGGGAGGCAAGGGCCCCATGGAGTCCTTCCCCTGACCATCTCCTTCCCTCAGGGATTTGGACATCTGGTGCCATCCTCAGAAGACCCAGGCGTCCTGGGAATCGTGTACGACTCAGTTGCTTTTCCCGAGCAGGATGGGAGCCCCCCTGGCCTCAGAGTGACTGTGAGGAGGCAGCTTTGCTTAGCTGGGGTTTCCGAGGGGCTCCCATGTGCCCAGCGTAGGTCAGGGCCGTCGTCTCTCCCTAGGTGATGCTCGGAGGTTCCTGGGTACAGGGGCTGGAAGCCAGGGGCTGGGCCTCCTCTCGGGAGCTGCTCCAGCGGCAGGCACAGGAAGCAGCTGCCACGCAGTTAGGACTGAAGGAGCCTCCGAGTCACTGCTTGGTCCACCTGCACAAGGTGAGCTGGACAGATGCCCTCAGCTCCCCTACAGGCATCAAAGGCAGGACCTGGCGTTTTTGTCAGTGTCCACCAAGGCTTGTGACATCAGTCGTAAACTTATTTTATCTCCTCCTCTCCCCAGCACTGCATCCCCCAGTACACACTAGGCCACTGGAGAAAACTGGGTAAGTTGGGAAACAGCTGGGCTGAGGAGAGCCAGGAACTCCGGCCCGCTGACGCTCCTTGTCCCCTGCAGAGTCAGCTGCCCACTTCCTGGCTGCTCGCAGGCTGCCCCTGACCCTGGCTGGAGCCTCCTATGAGGGAGTTGCTGTCAATGACTGTATAGAGAGTGGGCGCCAGGCAGCAGCCCGGGCCCTGGGCTTAGAACTTGACAGATGATCCCACACCCTATCTTGCTGCCCCTGCTGGCTGGGACTCTCACCATGAAAATAAAAGTTGTGGGAGATTGGCTCGGTCTGTCTGTCTTGTCATGGGCAAGGGGAGGAAGGAGATGCAGAGACAGGCAAAGGGTGCCTGAGGTGCAGAAAGCAGGAGCAAAGGCGAGACTGAGTCCTTTATTAGAAAATATATCAAAATCCAGCCGCCTGAGCCAGAGCCAGAAGAGGGGGCTGCTCTAGCCCTGGCAGAAAGTGCCCAGGGAGGGGCTCACTTCACCTAACACATCCTGGGGACCATAAATAGAATAAATATTCACAGAGGTCCCAGGAGAAGCTAGGTCACTCTTCTCTCCATGGAAGAGGAAGGGACTTGGGGTCCAGCCCTGCTCCCACTGCAGGGGCAGCACTCCCAGGAGTCACCACATACAATCATGACATCAGGGATTCACAGTCATAATCCTGGCAGGTGCCCCTAGAAAGGGGCCCTCAGGTCTAGAGGAGCCCAACTCCAGTCCAGCAATAAGAGGCCCCGGCCCCAGCACAGCGTAAGTGGCCCCCAGTCCCTCTAAGAGCAGTGGTAGCTGAGGGAGGGAGAACAGAACCCTCTGGTTCAGTTTCATGACTGAAGGTAGGCAGGAAGGAGGGTCAGTGTGGGCCATGGGGGGCTGTGTGGTTGGCAGTAGGCAGAGGGCCCAGCCTGGCTGGCGGCCTGCGCTGCAGCATCTCTTGGCGGAATGCCTGGGAGGAGCCAGGTGGGTAACGGGGGCCAGAGGGAATCCGGGGACCCCGGGGGTCAGTTCCAATGTCTGCTGTGACATTGGTATAGAGAGGGCCCAACTCTCGAGCCAGCAGTCGGTACGTCAGTGAGTTCATCCCATCTTGTGTCCAGGAATTCTGAGTGCGGATCAGGAGGTCAAATCTGAGGATTAGAGGATAGACTAAGATGAGGAAGGAACAGCCAGGAATCAGGGGCCTGCAGGGGTTTCTGATGGAACAGAACTGGAGGGTCCAGCCCCACCGCCCAGCAGCCCTCCCTGCCTACCTGTGCGGGTTTTCCTCGTTGCCCTTGTCTCCTCGGTGCTTCACCATCTTGTAGTGCCCCACAGATGTGGGGGGGCGAGAGATCTTCATACCGGCCAGCCGCACCCTGTGGGAAAAGTGAGGGATTTTGGCAGATCCGATTGGAGGAAAATGGCTGGGGGCACAAGGAGAGCTGAGGCCAGCCAGGAAGGGACTGCTGGTTCCCTACCGAGAGCCACTACTGCAGTCAGGCAGAGGAGTTCACTGTTTCAGTTAGTGCCAAGTACTGGCAGGGAGAGGGTCAAATGCAAAGAAGGAAATGGCTGAAGAGAACATAGAAGCTGAGGTCCCAAACCCTGAGGGCCTTGCACCAGGTACCCTGGGGCCTTGCAGCAATTGGCCGGGTAGGTTTGCACCTCCCACCTTATTTCCTAAATGGTCCCAGGAGCTGCTCTCGCCCTCTCGGAAGGACACATTGAGGAGCCCTTATGCCTAAAGTGCAGGACAAGTCAGAGTTGCAGATCAAGCTCAGCAGTTCTTACTTAGAAGACGGGCTGAGCTGCTCCACCTCCTTTGCCCCGCACCCTCCCACTCCAAAGTGCAGGGTGGAACCAGGACCTGAACAGAAACCAGCCCCAGCTCTGACATACAGAAGCAAGAAGTGAAGGTGGCCTGGGAAGAGCACACTGAGAAACTGCTGGGTGCTTTACACTTGAAAAGAATTCAGAGATGCCACTCAGGACTCAAGGGAGAGGAGGCAGTGGATCCAGTATATCAAGCCCAAATATTCAAACCACAGATAGGAAATTGGGTCAGCTGAGCCTGAGGGTCAAATGTTCCACATATGAAACATGAGTTGGCCTCATGCCAATGGCAGAGGCTTTGAAAAAAAAGTGATTCATGGTCCTATGAGTGCCTCCTCCCTGGCCACATAGGAAGTGGTCTGGATGCAACGCTGGCAGGAGTACCGAGCTGGCTGTAGGCCCCTTTCTGCTCTGGGGTCCCAGGATACTGTAGCCTACAGATCTAGGAGACTGAGGGTAATGGTGGGGTAAGGGAGGGCAGACAGGAGAGGCATGGCACAGTGCAGGCCCTGCATGCGAAGGTTAGTACTAAAGGGCTATGGCCAGGAGTGGCCTCAGGATGGGGATTCAGGCCGGGGAAAGGGAGGGAGGTGGATCAGGATGTCTGACCTGGTAGCAATGTCATCATCCTCACCACCCCAGCCCCAGTATTCATTGGGGAAGCCGTTCATCTTCAGGTACTGGTCAGGAGTGAGCGCTGAGACCCCTCCAAAGTATTGGGGGTACGGGAGGCTGGAGAGAGAAAGATCCTTGGGTTCCACAAGTCTTATGGTATGCATCCCTACCCACAATCCCCTCAGCTCGCCTGCTTCCCAGCATCTTCTAATGCCTTCTACCTGTATCCAAACTTGTTCATGGCGACAGCCACATGCCGGGGCCCCCGGGGGTCGCACACATACAGGTTGTGGTCATTCTCTGGCAGGAGGTCCACGTCGTGCAAGAACAGGCAGTCCCACTCTTCATCACGCAGGGCCTCCCGGACCCCCACATTCAGCAGCTTTGCTCTGTTAAAAGTTCCATTTCCAGCCTGAAAGAGAGTGGAGGAAGCCCAGACTATTGGTGGCATGGAGAGAGGGGCTGAAACATAAAAGTAAAAAGAGGGCCCTGGCTGGTTTGGCTCAGTGGATAGAGCGTCAGCCTGCAGACTGAAGGGTCCCAGGTTTTATTCCAGTCAAGGGCACATGCCTGGGTTGTGGGCTCAATCCCCAGTAGGGGGGTGTGCAGGAGGCAGCTGATCCATGATTCTCTCTCATCACTGATGTTTCTCTTTCCCTCTCCCTTCCTCTCTGAAATCAATAAAAATATACTTTTTAAAAAAAGTAAAAAGAGGGAAATCAAAGTGGGATGGGGGCAAAGAGAATGAAGAGAGAGACGATCTAAAAGTTTCACTCAAAAAATATTTTGAGCAACAGTGTGTGCCTGATACTTACATGCTGCTGTTTAGCATTAAATCCTGACAACTAGCAACCATGTGAATAGGTGTCTATCAGTCACCCCTCGTTGCCTCATTGTAGGAGATTAAGTACTTGCTTACGGTCACATATGGAACAGATGGCACAACTACAATTTTAGCCCAAAGTTGTCCAATTCCAAATGGGCACAATTCCAAATTGAACAAAGGAAAAGTCCTGGAAATGTGTAGGACCAGGAATACCCTGCATCGAACAAGAAGTATGGGACTGACCACAGGCACAGCAGAGCCAGGATTTCCCCACCTTCAGCAGCCAAACCCTCTTGGTTATTCCAGGGACCACACAGGAGAGTGGAGTGGCACTGGCGTGAGGCTTCCTACAGAAAGGTCTGAGTGGGAGTGTACCTGGTGGATGACGTAGATGCCGTAAGCAAGCTGCTGGCGCTGCAGGAAGGGGTGCAGGTGGTAGAGCAGCAGGCGCAGGTGGTGCTCCCGGCCCCGGTGTGGCACGATGACAGCTGTCCGGGAGCGGGGCTCACACCCTGCAGGACGGTACCGGCCCCCCGCTTCCACCCGGGGGTTCCTCTCCACAATCTCTGCCAGCGATGGCACTGGGCTAAAGGACACGGACACAGGACCCACTGTTGGAGGAAATGACAAGTCACGGGTCAGAGGAGCACCTCTGACCCTGGCCCTCCTGGTCTGTGGCTCAGCAACCCCCAAGGACTCACTCACAAATCTCACCAGCCTTGAGCTCCCATCACTGGGACAGCTTCGCAAAGACTGGAAGGGGCAGGCTCCTTCCCTAGCCTACCTTATTGTAGGTTTCATAACTCCTTGATAGGGTTGGAAGCTACAGTTAGGGGATGGAGGGAACAGATGGACTTCCAACTCATGACCTAAATCAGGACTCATCCACAAAGGAAGCAATTTAACCTGAGGCAGGAAGAAGCCTGTGAACGGGCAGGCAATAGAAAGCTTTGACTCAACCCCAGGGCCCAATCCAAACTCCAAATTCAAGTCCACTCCATCTCAACCTCAGCACACTTTCCAATTACATCAGCCTCCTATTCTAAGTCCCACTCTGACCCCCCTTCCCTTCCCTTCCTTCCCCTTCCCCTTCCTTCTGCACTCACCTAAGAAAGGAGACCGTTCTGGACAGTACGGCAGACCTTGAGGAGCCAGAGGGCCGCCCGGGGCAACAGCAGGGGCCCCTGACAGGTGGCTGAGGTTACTGTAGACATCGTGGGGATGAGCATAGTCAAATGTGGGCCCCTGCTCTCGGCCAAATAGGGCGCTGAGGCTCCGGAAGCCCCCCAGTGACAGGTACATCATGACGGCCAGCTGGGAGCCCACGAGCAGGGCCAGCGTGCAGGGCCGCTCCAGCAGCCGCCGCAACATCCTGGGCTGAGGTCTGGGAGGAGAGAGGAGAGCTCTGGGCAGGCAGGGGGAGCACAGCCAGCAGAGAGCATGGGGTAGGGATGGCGGTGGGGTGAAGAGGAGAAACAGGCAGAGGAGCCGGTCACCGAAGGGAACACACAGGTGTGCAGTCATCGAGGGGAAGAGACAGGCTGTGGCCACCAGCAGCCCCACCACCTTTCCCAGCCCGGGTGGCGCTCTCCTCCACCCTCCCCAACCCACTCCTGCACGTCCTCTCAGTCCTCACCCTCAGGTCCATTTCAGAGGAGTCCCTGGAGAACTCCCTTCCAGTTTAGAGGAAGAGACTCACCTAGGTTCAAGCTGTCTGCTTCCAGATCATGGGGGCCCCGGGGGCGCAGAGATGTGATGCATTATCTAAAACTGGAAATGTCGCCGAGGACAGCAGGCCAACGGAGCTCCTGGGACCAGCTGGAACACAGTGGGCAAGGGTGAGCCGATCGCCCACGGAGAGGCGCGCAAGGGCCGGAAGCGGGCTTCCAGCAGGGGAAGTGAGGGAAGATGCTGGCTTCTCCCACTGGCGACCCCGGAGTGTCAACTCCATCCTCGCCCATCCCCACCCCAACAGGACCAACCTGTTCGGGGAGTGGGGACAGGGCCGCTACTGGAGACTGTGTCCCCAGGGGGTGAAGCAGCCAGGACAGGACTGGACTGTGCAGTGGTCTCAGGAGAACAGGGCGGAGCAGAAAATGGGCTACTTTCCACTCTTCACGGGCCTGGGAACTAGGTCCGCAGGTGCAGGGAGCGTGACCACCTGGGAGCGGCAAGCACACGCCCCAGGCGCGGGGAGAGGGGAGAGGCGTCCCTGTCGCCTTTCCCGGCTCCGGCTCCGGCTCCGGCGGGCGGGCGGGAGGGGAAGCGCAGGGCAGCGCCGGGGGCACTGGGACTGGCTTCCCTGGAGGGGGTGGTTGCCGCCTGTGCTTTCCAGCGCGTTACAGCCCAGCGCCTTTGGGGCACCCTCCCACCCCGAACTCCTGCAGGCGCCCTACCTTCCTGGGGCGCCCACCCGGCCCGGTCCACACTCCGCCCGGGACCCGCTCCACTCGAGTTTGTCTGCAGCCTTTGCTCCAAACTTCTCATCCTCCCGATCGCCCTCACGTTTGTGCGGGCCTCTCATCCCTCCATCCGGGGCCCGTACCTGCTCTGCGGCTTCCCGTGGTCACCGCCGGCCTGACAGCCGGGCAGGCGCCTCTGCCGCCATCTTGGATGCTGGCGGGCGGGGCGGCGCGGCGCTCAGGAGGCTGGGCGGCGCTCAGGGGGCGGGGCGGCGCTCAGGGGCGGGGCGGCGCTCAGGAGGCGGGGCGGCGCTCAGGAGGCTGGGCGGCGCTCTGGGGGCGGGGCGGTGCTCAGGAGGCTGGGCGGTGCTCAGGGGGCGGGGCGGTGCTCGGAGGCTGGGCGGCGCTCAGGAGGCTGGGCGGTGCTCGGGGTGGGGCGGCGCTCAGGAGGCTGGGCGGCGCTCAGGGGGCGGGGCGGTGCTCGGGGTGGGGGCGGTGCTCAGGAGGCTGGGCGGCGCTCAGGGGGCGGGGCGGTGCTCGGGTGGGGCGGTGCTCAGGAGGCTGGGCGGCGCTCAGGGGGCGGGGCGGTGCTCGGGGTGGGGGCGGCGCTCAGGAGGCTGGGCGGCACTCAGGGGGCGGGGCGGTGCTCGGGGTGGGGGCGGCGCTCAGGAGGCGGGGCGGTGCTCGGGGTGGGGGCGGTGCTCGGGGTGGGGGCGGCGCTCAGGAGGCTGGGCGGTGCTCGGGGTGGGGGCGGTGCTCGGGGTGGGGGCGGCGCTCAGGAGGCGGGGCGGTGCTCGGGGTGGGGGGCGGTGCTCAGGGGGCGGGGCGGTGCTCGGGGTGGGGGCGGTGCTCAGGGGGCGGGGCGGTGCTCGGGGTGGGGGCGGTGCTCAGGAGGCTGGGCGGTGCTCAGGGGCGGGGCGGTGCTCGGGGTGGGGGCGGCGCTCAGGGGGGGGGCGGCGCTCAGGGGGCGGGGCGGTGCTCGGGGTGGGGGCGGTGCTCAGGGGCGGGGCGGAGCTCAGGGGCGGGGCGGCGCTCAGGGGGCGGGGCGGTGCTCAGGAGGCTGGGCGGCGCTCAGGGGGCGGGGCGGCGCTCAGGGGGCGGGGCGGTGCTCAGGAGGCTGGGCGGCGCTCAGGGGGCGGGGCGGTGCTCGGGGTGGGGGCGGCGCTCAGGAGGCTGGGCGGCGCTCAGGGGGCGGGGCGGTGCTCGGGGTGGGGGCGGTGCTCAGGAGGCTGGGCGGCGCTCAGGGGGCGGGGCGGTGCTCGGGGTGGGGGCGGTGCTCAGGAGGCTGGGCGGCGCTCAGGGGGCGGGGCGGTGCTCGGGGTGGGGGCGGCGCTCAGGAGGCTGGGCGGCGCTCAGGGGGCGGGGCGGTGCTCGGGGTGGGGGCGGCGCTCAGGAGGCGGGGCGGTGCTCGGGGTGGGGGCGGTGCTCAGGGGGCGGGGCGGTGCTCGGGGTGGGGGCGGCGCTCAGGGGGCGGGGCGGTGCTCGGGGTGGGGGCGGCGCTCAGGAGGCTGGGCGGCGCTCAGGGGGCGGGGCGGTGCTCGGGTGGGGGCGGTGCTCTGGGGCGGGGCGGCGCTCAGGGGGCGGGGCGGTGCTCGGGGTGGGGGCGGTGCTCAGGGGCGGGGCGGAGCTCAGGGGGCGGGGCGGCGCTCGGGGTGGGGGCGGCGCTCGGGGTGGGGCCGCCTGGCGGGCGGGACGTGGGTTCACCGCGCCGCACGGCGTTCTGGTCTCCGCTCCTCAGCCTTGGAAACCGGCAGCCAGGCCAGCCTTTCCCGGCTCAGGCCTGTGACTGACCCGGAGGCCGAGCCCTGCGGGGTGTCAGCGGCGCCCCTGCTGCCTGGTGCCACTTAGTAGCAACATTGCTCTCCTCGGGGCACAGAGTTGCTGATGCTCCGGCGCACCGTATCCGCCACGGGCCTCGAATGGAAACTGTTATAACAGAAGGAACGGTGCGGGCGGAAGGGTGTGAAATGTTTTCCGATGTTAGCGCAACATGGTCGCTCCGTTAGATGCAGTGTTTGGTGGCCTCCCCTACCCCCTGCGCACGTTGATTCTGAGGAGCGGAGGTTCACACTGAGGACGCGAGTGACTCAGTGTCGCGGCTCATCGCGGCCGGCGGCCGGTGGAGCGCCGAAGGGCTGCCCCGGGGCGAAGGGGACCTGAGGACTGTCCACACACATCCATCTGCTTAGAAGACTGTTTCCTGGAACCATTTTACAACCCTGTGCGCAACTGATCTGTTCGACAGGCAAATGCTGCCCTTTCTGCTGGAGGCTCAAATAACCCAGGACTCCCCACGTTGCAGAAAAAAGCAGTTTTTGCCTCCATTTTCATATTCATTCTGTATACCTGACCTGTAAATGAGTCTGCTGTTTAGATTTCCTTTTGAACCAGTTGTAACATCTTCCTAGTCCTCTCTGACTTAATAAAACCTTTAACACGTGTTCATTTTTATATGTGTACTGACAAGAATGTGACCAAACTTTAGACAGGCTCGGGTCCCCCCGCTTGTCTGAACTGTCTTTCCAAACAGGCCTCACCTCGGGCCTCTAGCCACTTTCCAAGAATCCTCCAACATTAATATCAATCAGCCTGGCCTGCCTTTAGCAAAAATCTTATGTCTGTTTAGCAAGATTCTCCCTACCCTCGATGTCATTTCCTATCCACTGGCCCTCTGGTTCTGCTCATTGGCTAGTCATATCCACTGTCTGTACTATATTCAGAGTTGAGCCCAATCTCTCTCATATTGGGATCGTCTTGACACCTATTGCAATAATCCCGAACAAAGTCTTCTTTACTATTTTAATAAGTGTCAGAATAATTTTTTCTTTAACCGTGTGTGAGTCATAATTTTACCTTTTTCTGAATTATCTTCTAACAGATGAATAGTCTTCTAGGCAGAGGAAACCATAAGGGCAAAGCCTGGAAATGAGGGAGAAATTAAGGAATTGGGGAAATTAAACATGGATCAATCAAGCTGGACAACAGAGTGAAGAGAATAGTGAGATATGGGACTGGCTGGATAAATAGATACTAGATCATGAAAAACTCCATAAACCACCTTCAAGGAGCTGGGCTTTATCCTGAGGGCAAGAGGAAGGCATTGTAGTGCTGTGAACAGGCAGCCCAAGGGTCAGAACTTTAGGAAGCTTCCTCTGGTGGAGCACTAATTGGAAGCAGAGACACCATTTAGGAGGTTCCTGTAGAAAATTAAGTGAGATGAAGCTTATGCAGCATAAGGTGTTATTAGTGAGACCAGAGGGAAGAGGTGCTAAATTACTAGTCAGGTAGACTGAGACATGAGGAAATGATTCTACTCTTGTTCTAACTAGACTGTGTCTGAATTTCCAGTCCTGCAAAAATGCCCGTTTATACATCAAACCTGCAGGTCACCCTCTGATTATCCGCTGAAGGACTAAAGAAAGAATGTTCATGTTTGCCTATCCAAGCTACCTGCCCCCATCATTCCAAACACCGGTCATGTAGAGGATTGCAATCCGGACCAGTGCAGAGGCTGAGCACAGGGCTGATTCTTCTCAAGAGTGTACTTTTTACTATAAGAACTCTGAACTTTTCTTTCTTCTTTGGAACATTCTGGGTATTGTTTCTACTTTGCAAACGCTAATACTATACCCTTAGATAAATCTTTATCATTTATTTCTGGGGTTTTTTTTTTGAGGGGGGGCTGTTTGTTTGTTTTTAAATCTGAAATAGGTCTTGGAGATACAGCACTGCCTTTTCTTCACTTTGCTTTATGTTTTTTAAATATATTTTTATCGATTTTAGAGAGGAGAGAAGGAGAGAGAGAAACATCAATGATGAGAGAAAATCATTGATCGGCTGCCTCCTGTACACACCCTCCTGGGGATCGAGCCCACAACCCAGGCCTGTGCCCTTGCTCAGAATGGAACCCTGAACCCTTCAGTCTGCAGGCCGAGTCTCTATCCACTGGGCCACACCAGTTAGGACAAAGCCCTGGTTTGTTTGTTTTTTAATATATTTTTATTGATTTCAGAGCGGAAGGGAGAGGGAAGGAGAGATAGAAACATCAATGATGAGAGAGGATCATTGATTGGCTGCCTCCTGCACACCCCCTACTGGGGATCAAGCCCAAAACCCAGGCATGTGCCCTTGACCGGAATCAAACCTGGGACCCTTCAGTCCAAAGGCTGACACTCTATCCACTGAGCCAAACCAGCCAGGGCAAAGCCCTGGTTTTTAAGGAGCTCCCTGTGTGGTGGAAAGGATGGACTTAGATAATTGCTCCTCCGTGGTGCTCTGTTCCTATAAAACTGCTTTTCACCTTCGATCCTCCCTCTCTACCTGCCACCTTCCAACAACTGCCCTACATCCTGTTTCCAAGAACTTGCATCTCCACTCCATCCTGGCCAAACCCACGACCTCATCATCACCTAGAATTGCTGCATTTCTGAACATTTATATTCTAATATGCTGGTTTCCACCACAACCTCCTGCCTTTCTATATTCTGAATAAATCCCAGGCCCCTAGTGACCCCTCATGACAGATGCCAACACAGTAGAAGAAACCCAGCCTTATAGTAACAAACTAATTTAAAATAAGTTAAGGGGGGTGAGGGGTGGGGATGACGGCCTGTGCCGGGGGTGGGGGAGGCCGGGGGAAGGTCAATGGGGAAAAAAGGGAGTCATACGTACTACTATTTGTAATACTTTAAACAATAAAATAAAATTAAGAAAAATGAAAATGAACAACAATCTATACCAATAATAGAGGAATATGCAAATTGTCTGGGATGCTGTCACAATAACAGTAACAACAAGCAAGCTGCCTGGGGTGACCAGGCCGGCAGGGGG